AAACCGGGTAACCAGTCAGGCATAAAATAGACGCAGCCATTTTCACTGGCTCTCTCGACTCTGGTCGTATCTCTTATGTCTGCGAGAGTGTGACTCGCAGACGTTTTCTTGTGGAAACCGGGGTCCACTTAAGTGTCGTTCCCCCACTGAAGCTGACTGTAACTCTCATAGTCCTGGTTTTCACCTTCAGGCTGACAACCGTTCCGCCATTTCCATTTTCGGTAGTCTAGAAATTGGTCTTTCGTGGCTGTACTCTTACATATTTATAACTGCCGACGTTCCTCATGATATCCTACGTTCTGACTTCCAAGCTGAATTCGATCTCCTTGTTGAATGCCGACGTTTTTGTCTTCTTGACCGCCTAACTGGTCTGCCCAGACACGGTCTTACACCCTTCACTAACTCCTGAAACTTATCTGTTCTACATACACATATAGCTTGTCCATTCCGAGAGCTTATTCGTAAACACTCAAATATTGTCAACCCCAGTCTTGCAGTAGTGAAGTTCAACATAATGTTGTACACCACACCCGCGCGTCAGTGCCTTCTGAGTTTGCTTGGCCCAGAGGGTTTGCACCGGTCCGTTTGCCGGCCACGAAGGCGGAATTTGAACACGGCTGCAACTAGGAATCATCCGATGTTCTGAAAGCCTCTGGGCATCCCCTCTGCAAATGGTACCCATGGCGACATCTGGCAACTGGAAACCCTGTGGCGGCTTTCGTGATTTCAACATCGCTACGATTTCTGATCGTTATCCCGTGCCTCATCCTCAAGCTTTTTCTGGAGCCCGTTTCGATAAAACTGTTTTCTCGAAGAGTAATCTGGCACGTGCCTTTCACTGGATTTCTGTCGTCCCAGAGGACATTCCTAAAACTGTTTTTACCACACCTTTCAGTCTTTTTGAGTTCATGGGCATGCCGTCTGGTCTTCGCAATGATGACCAGCCCTTTCAGAGGTTCATCAAACCTGTCTTACGTGGCTTGCCGTTTGTGTAAGCCTACAATGATGACCTCTTGGTGGCAAGTCAGAGTGACAAAGAACATGAGGAACATGTCGCCCAGATATTTGACCGTTTCCATACCTTTGGTGTTATCATCAACCCCCTAGGTGTGTGCTTGGTATGCATTCCCCTGAATTTCTTAGTCACTGTGTCAACTCAGAAGGTTTGCGTCCCGCCCCCTCCACCTGTACTGACCTTATGCTACCCCTCATCAACATGCTTTCTAGTCCCAAGAGTCGCCTTCAGCTTATTGGTGAGGCACCGACCGCTTTCAAGAGAATCAAGGCCGCCCTTACTGACGCTACCCTGCTTACGCATCTCGCTCCCGAAGTTCAAATGTCTTTGATAGTAGACTGTAAGACCGCAGACGTAAGTTTAGTTATGCAGCAACACCTTGTTGGTTCAGTTCAGTACACTTCATCCCATGAGCGACAGTTTTTATCCTTAAAATCCCCCAAATCCCCTTGAAACCTCTATAGTTTCCGAGAACTGCGCAATGAATTTTTTCACTCCTCTTTTTGACTCTCTCCCATTTAATAGCTCTTGCCATTGGCGTCGCTCATGAGCAGAGCTACTATAATCATGTGGATATACTACTCACAAGGAGTGAGCAGTAATGTTCGTTCACTATTTCCCGCTAAATGACGGCTGTTAACTTTTTGCCTGCAATCATGTAAACAACAACCGTTTGAATTTTTCTACTGTATTGATGCATTTTCAGTCATTATGACAACAATAGGTTACTCAAAGGCATTTGCATATCTTTCCTTCAATAAAACTGAACTGAACTTTCTCACCATTTATCTGACTGTGAAGTATTTCCGACATTTTTTTTAGAATCGGAATTTCATCTTATTCACAGATCATACGCCGTTGACCCTTGTTCTTCGATCTCACTCTGGCACGTACAATCTGAGCAAGATTGCCCACCTGGATTACATCTCGCAGTTCACCACCGATATCCGCCACACTGAAGGCACGAAGAATGAGTTGGTCGACATGCTGTTTAGACCTCCCACTTCTGCATTCCAATTCTCACATGAGGTCATCCTTGGTGCTATGGCGGCTGAGCAAATATGAATCCGTTGTCCTGGTGACTAATACTTTGGTGATCACCAGCTCGTGGACGTTCCACTCACCACCAGGGCTGGCATCATTCTCTGTGCTGTCTCGACTCCTTTTTATTTCTTTAACGTGCCCCTTGATGCGCATAGCTGTGTTTAACGCTCTTCATGACCCCATTCCACCCTGGGACTTGAGCCTCACAAAAGCTCCTCGCATAAATGTTCTTCTGACTTGGCATGATTAAGGACGTCACAGTTTGGGCACGTACATGTCCAAATTGCCAGCAGAATAAGGATTGGCGGCACAACAAGTCTCCACGCCCCATATTTTTTTGCGGTCAAGGATTAACAACCTACTGGTGAAGCACCGACTGCTTTCAAGAAAAATTAAGCCCGCTCTCTAAGGACAGAAGCTGGATCTCCACAAACAACTATCGGCCGGTCAGCCTTATTTCGCTTTGCTGCGAAATTATGGAAAGAGACATTAACGGTGTAACCTACCCTACTAATACCCCATGTAGTCACTTTAAGTCACTTTATTAAGGGAAGAAGGCTTTCGCCCTTGAG